GGGGGGTCTCTTCGCCCCCCCTCAGAACTCGCTAACGGTATGTCGTATGGCTACCAAATTTTCAGAGGATGGTGTACTAGTTAAAATTTATCATATCTACAATTTTAATGTCATTATGACGTAATATGACGTCATTATGACGTCATTAATGGGATTTTATTGGCCAAAACCGTCTAGATAGGCTATTCCCTGAAAACTAAATGGTATTCAACATAACTTTACCAAAAGTGTTTATGACAGAATATTAGAGTGTACTAAGTCTTATGTTGCCCATAGCAACACCGGTGACTATAAAAAATGACGTCATACATATTTAAGATATCCGCCATCTTGGATCATCAATGTTGAATTTTCAAAAATAGTTTTTTTTTCGTGATAAAGCCTAAAATACATTGTAAACATACCAAAGACCTTCATTTAAACCTTTTTTGGAAAAAGAAATGGAAGTGTTGATGAAATTTTAAGGAAAATAACTTGTATATACCTGTTCTAATGATATGGTCCGCCATCTTGGATTTTGGCCAATGACGTCATCAAATTAGCATAAATTATGCATATTTAATGATAAAATTTACATAAATTCATATGGGATGTTATTAGAAACCATGAGTAACTTGACATAAAACCCATTAAATTCTATTCTTGAAACAAAAATTACTAAATTTAGCAAAAAATGCCTGTCAGAAACCCGTTGCCATGGCAACACAAAAAATTATTATCTTATTCCAATGATAGAAAATTGTTGCCAACAATATTTTAGGAAAAGTCACCAAGTTTGGTCATTCTAGCCCTAGCCATTCAGACGCTATGTGACATCAAAGTTGGCGCGGGCACTTTTAGCCCCCCCCCCCCGGTCTAGATAGGGTTAATCTGATGTACCATAGAGCACTTTTTTTATGTTCAAGTTGTGGTTATTGAAGAGGCCAATTTATTGTTTAAATGTTTAACAAAAAGTTTGCGCCTTCCTTTGGTCGGGCTAAGGCAGTCATAGGCTAAAGTCTGCTGCCGCCACGCCACGTGCATGCGAAGCTGGTGTGTTAAGCCGAAAGGCGGTTATACCGGCTAAACAGATACAGATACAGAAAGTTGGTTTCGGATATTTGACTGACTGTACTGGCAAAGCCTTTATTAGGCAGAGCCTAAATGATTTTTTTTTTTGCAGCCGTCTTTTTATCAACATTTTATCCAACTTATGCATCTTGAGTAGCCTAATGTTTAAATCCATCTTAAGTTAATTTCTTTATTTACGTGTGCTTGGCAGATCTGCACAGGGTAAATTACTTTGTAATTTGAAACAAAATTACTCCATGTCTTATTTTTAAACCATGATTATTGAGGGATTCGGGTCATTACATCCTATATTTGTATTTGTCTTGCTGCTTTAGCCCATAGGTGTGAGTACTATCGACCGCCTGTTAATGGAGCTACAGCATGTGACACCTGGCATTATGGGCAATTCTGCACAGTACTTTGTAACCATCTGTACGAGTTTGCAACAAGCCCAGCTCAACTCTATGTTTGTGGTGCAACAGGGGTCTGGAGTACCTTCCCACCTGGTTACTCACTCCCCTGGCCTGATTGTTCTGGTAAGTAAGACAATCAGTTAAAACTAGGTTAACAAAAGCAAGGTTCAATATTCGGCATGCTTGGGGCGTGTATGGATGGTCATGGGAACAACGCCTGCCTTGTAGAAAATGTGGTGGTCCACTCTGGACGTCTATTTTGATAGCTTATGATTTGATGCAGGGACATGTGTGATGCTTGGATATCCTTTCTGATTATGTATGAAGCTGTGTGTCTGATTGACTCTCTGAAAGTAAACTGTCTCAAAGACAATTCTAGCTGTTAGGGTGGGCTGTTTAGGGAGAAGATAGGCAAGGAAATAAAGCTAACTCCACCGAGCCTAGAAGAAAACGCGTTCGACTGAGGCTAGGTATTACAAGAAACAATTAGATCCACTAGAAATGTTTATTGATTATAGGGGTATTTTATATGGAAAACAGAAGGAAACAGACTAGGCAATCAAGTGGACATTTGCTCTCCGACCAACGTTTACAGGTTCTAATTTAATAGCAACAGCAAATTCAAACAGATGTATCATGTTTGAATTTGACCTACTGTTATTTATTCAGTATTCAAGTCGATAAGTGTGTATACATACGTGGATTCTGTTTTACAGAACGAAGGGATCCCAATGAAGTTCACAAAGGTCTGGAGGCACAGTATTTCGTGGGTGACTGCCCTGACGAAAGTACTCAACTCAGCATCAAGCAGCAGTACCTTGAAATCCTGCAAGGTTCAATATTCGGCATGCTTGGAGCTTGTACGGATAATCAAGGGAACAACGCCTGCCTTGTAGAAAATGTGGTTGTCCACTCTGGCGGAGTAAATGACACAATCACAACGCATAAACGTGAGGATACGTTAATCATGGCATATGATAATCATTTTAAATGCGCATGCATTATATACAATTCTTGTCTTTGAAGTGCATTAAAATGATGTCAAAATTATCCGAGATTAATTCTTTATTATAATTTAAGGAAATGCTTAATTAGATGGACATGTTTTGATTTATAATACTAAATTCAATATTATTATTTTTCAGCCATAACTTGTGCACGATTAAACCCACTTCCCAATGCGGTAGCATACCCAAGAAACTGTACCATGAGCAAAACAAGCTACCTTGACAGCTGCATTTTCTCCTGCAAACCTGGATATAGTAGTACCAACGGACAGACGACTCTAGTGACTACATGTGGTGCTCCTTCAATCCCTGGCAGCAGCGACGGGACATGGACAGAACCAATCGATGGCTTCAATTGTGAAGGTGGATACTTGACACTTTAGTATATCATATGACTCATTGGTTAAATATAAGAGAATGGTTACATGAATTTTCGGAAGCAAATTACTACCAACCTGGCTTCTTTATAGCGCTGTGAGAGGTGTTCCACATATTCTGTGTGTTTACTAACTTAAAAGTGAAGTTGAATTGTTTCCTTGGTTAAAACATAAGGCAACAGCAAGTAAATTTTAAGGATGACATTAGACATGTTCGTCTAATTTTAGAAATAAAACTTGTTGTTCTGTGACAGTTGTGAGCATGTCTAAAAAACAAAGATGTCCATTGCCATGCCAGAACGTAGATGACAGATAAATATGAAAAGTCTGAGGAGACACGAGAGGGCTCTAATTCATTGTTTTGTCATTTTCAGTGAACAGTTTCATTCATTTAATATGTGATGTCATTGATACAGTTCACTTGCTGTGGAATAATTAACCCTAAACAATACTTTTTAAACACAGATACAACACCTCCAAGCATAATCTGCCCAGGTGACATCACAGCAGACAACGACCCGGGTATGGACGGTGCCGAGGTGACATGGGCAGCACCAGTTGCTACAGACACCACGGGAGTTACACCTGTGGTCCTCAGCAGTGTTACACCGCCACATAGGTTTACTATAGGACTGCACACTTTGAACTACACGGCAGTTGACGAGGCAGGGCTTTCATTTTCGTGCCATTTTCAAGTCGAAATACGGGGTACGTACATGTTTCTAACTCTATGTTCTTGAAGGTTTAACCCGGTAAATGTTCTTACAACATCAGCACTTTACCTTTTTTTTTAATAACCTGGAAATATTGATATGACTTTTTTGTCTAATCAATGTGTTTCTACAGAAAACAGTCACATTTATAATGGCAACAACTATTTATGATGTAATGGCTTATACATCTTTAATGACAAATATTTACATATCGCAACCAATTTTGTGTTATTCCTTTTGTTTTGCAGTCTTTGTAAGCCAAAGACCTTTCTACTAATCTGTTTATTACATTTTTTTTGTTTTTTTACAGATATAACGGACCCAGAGTGTATAAGTTGTCCCGAAGACATCAATGTGTTTTCATCGAACCGAGAATTCGCCATCCAGTGGGATGAGCCAACTTGGATTGACAACAGCGGAAATATAGCTGATGTGTTCGGGTCAGTAGCATCATTTTTTACTCTTTGTTTATAAATGCACGCGTAAGTTTACTTAAAAGGGGAAGTACTATTTTTGCTTAGGAGTAAGTCTTAGGAGTGAGATTACTCTACTGAAAAGGTTTTCTTAATCCTACAGTCAATGGCGTACTGTTGCTTGTAACGGTAGTGGGATATCATTGTAGGGTTGTAGTCAAAAGGTCTTCGATGTAACGTATGAAAAGTATTAGCCCGAGGACAGAATCTTGACCTTCTAACACGTTTATTTAGCCTTGCATATTTACCACTTTAATCCGTCGATATATCGACACAAAAATCCAAACTCACACAGACTAACACACAAACACGCACGTTCTTAACCAGACAAGGTCGGGAGTGGGGGCTTAAAGTCCCCGCGCAAAACTTTGATGTCGGATAGCGTCTGATCTGCTTTCACCAAACTTAGTTACCTTTCCTAAAATGTGGTCGGCCACAAATCTGTAACAGCAACAATGCTTCCAGTTACTAGCATTTACATCCATCAATTGTGTTTTAATGGTTGACTAAGCATTATGGTTGACTAAGCATTTTGCTGATACACATGTGAAATCGATCCCAAATCCCAATAAGGCTAATAACAAATTTAAAAAAAAATTACGTGCCTTACGCCGTATTTTGTGATCAAAGTAAAAATCATAAATGTCTAATACAATTACATAACTAATAAACACATTGGAATCCAATGCAGCAGCCAGTTTCATCAAACAATGGTTGCGTTTTGTATCTAAAAGTCTACAAAAACGACGGTGCATTTTCATTTGCATTCCCATACAGTTTATTAAATTAAGGAGCAAGTTATGAAATATACAGCTTTAGTAGGCTAAGTGCTTTACAAACACATCTAAGAATTAAAACTAGTTAATCAAACTAGAACCTTTTCAATATATCATCTTTAAAAAAAAAACTGATGGTCATTGCTTTCTAAGCTCACATGTTCCAGGGTCCTTGTTTTACTGGGGCTCCCCGCAGTTCGTGTATTACATCGCCAGGGACAATGCTGGAAACCAAGGGTTCTGCAATTTTACTGTAACCGTGAAACGTACGTTGTAGATTTTCTAATTATTGCAAATATCTAACAAATGGTAAGCATTACATTACATAATACAACAAGATACATATGATCATTTTATGTTTATGTACGCAAATATAAAGAATGCAATGTCGATGAGTTTTGCAACCACATTTCTGATTTCTGGACTTAAGATGTTTAAGTTTCATACCGAATATTCCGTTTCTGTTCGTTTGCAGTCCCCAAAAAGTAAATGCTTATGGCATAATTTAGCTATTTTGATTTATTTTCAGACTTGCTTTTTCTAACTTTCAGAACACACCTGCCCATACCAAGCTCCACCACGTAATGGTGCCCTTGCCTGTGACACGTGGTTAGGAGGCCAGTTCTGCTCAGTGTCCTGTAACCGTGACTTTGGATTTGCTCGTGAGCCAGAATCACTCTACTACTGCAAACAGGAGGAAGGGGGAGGGAGATGGTCTTCACTTTTCCCTAGTTTTCAAGAAATCATCTTTCCTTGGCCAGATTGCACAAGTAAGTGCAAGCTAAACGTTTCCGAATCAACATTATTACGGTTATGAATTACCTTCATCAAATTTTTTTTTGATGAAGAAATGTGGAAAGAATGACATAAGAGGTGATTTTTACCTGATTATTACCATTTCAAGATGTCAACCCCGAGACAAGACTGTATGGCTTGAACCACTTACACCGGGAAGCTCCCCTGCTCTTTTCAAAAAGTCTTCTTTGAAAATGGAATTTGGAAATGGTCTCCCGAACACGGGATCTCCATTTAACGTCCTATCTAAGGGACGTCCCTAACCGAAGCTAGGTACTTATTTACAACCTGAGTGAAGTGAAAGAGTCGTGTAAGGTGTGTTTTCTAAGGGCACAAGATCAGTGGCATCGGGTAGGATTTGAAGAGGGGACCGCTTGTATCTGAGCCGAACACTCCACCACAAGACCCCATAAAATATGTTTTTTTTTTAATACAGGAACTTCATCACCAGGAGTAGTTGGTACTTTTCAAGTCCAATACTACACAAGTGACTGTGCTGTCGACACAGAAGAAATCCGGCAGAACTTCATAGAGCAGGCCAAGATGCTGAACGCCTTTGCTGTAGGATTCTGTATGGACGAGGCAGAATGCAACATAGACAACGTTCATGTGTCATGTGGGACGTCACGTGGAGCAAGAACCACTCACTATTTTATCAGTGTAGACTTCAACTTAGTGGTTCACGCGAAGGAGGTTTGTGTGATAATACTAATTTTTTGCAATCTCTTCATATCCTCGTAAATTCTTTATAAAATCCAACATAAATGCCATCATGGATACCTAAATGTCCAAGAAGGCCATACATCTTGTACTAATGTACTAATCCCTCTGCCTCTGGTAAACACACTCTACATTCCAAATGACAAAAGTAACCTGTTTGTACAATTATGCAAATTCATTTTAATACCGTGATATGACATATTATCTGTTTATCAAACGAATTCCGGAATATTTAACAGCCATGCGACCTACGCAAATTGCCGTGCTGTAGTAGAAATTCAATAGGTTTTGCAGCTAGGTGATCATCATCAGGTAAATTGGACAAACCAGGGGCTATTTTTCATAGTTAATGAGATTCTCGATTCTCATATTCGGTTAAAACGTGTTATTTGAGGCCGAGGAGACATGAAACTAGAATGATTTATGCGAATAAGGACGCTAATCATACATGTACAATAAATTAGAAAGATTCATAGTAACACAATTGTTCAACATCATTTGGCCTCGACAAGTTGTCAGCAAATTATGATTCCTACAATGCCATTGCGCCATTACAAAGTATAAAATACCTCGGGATATTTTTAAATACTGCATCTTTGTAAAATAAATGTGCTTGTTTTCTAGAGCTCATCCTTCAACGGTTCTTTCGTCCAGGCTGCAACAGCACATATTGACCTTTTTGTGGTGGGAATCGAAACCACTATCGCAAACGGAGCTTTCAACATTTCAGTTGGTAACCATACCATTTCCACCATCCCTGGTACCTTCAGTACAGCAGGAGATACAGTATTGATGTGCAGCCAAGGAAGTGTGCTCAAAGACTCAGATTGCTGTAAGTTGCCCAAAACAAAATGATTATCTGTAAGGGTATACTTTGGTAAATTAGTTTTAATGCCATTGTACTTTTAGCCCGAGTGAATGTCAACCTGAGAGTAAACTTTTTTTGCCGGTCGTGTTCACAGTGAGCTGCCCAGCGGGAACCTTTTCTAATGGTACATCATGCACAGACTGTCCACCAGGGTTCTACCAGGACAAAGAAGCCCAGATATCCTGTCTGCCTTGTCTGAACGGAACGGCAACCTACCATCCAAGGGCCGTGTCAGCTGAGGAATGCAAAGGTGTGTAAATGTCAGGTTAGAGACTACGAACAAGTAATCAGAGTCCATGTCAGGTTAGAGACTACGAACAAGTAATCAGAGTCCATGTTATAATTAACAGAAACTCCGATCGGAGTCTCTCCTGACAGATATCCAGATCAGTGTCTATTACAACGTCTTTATTGGTACAATCTGTTATTATGTTTATTATCATGCAAGTTCAGGTTAAACGATATTTAGTTCTAGGGTAAGATTTTATCAGTAGCAAGAAACGTGATTGAATGTTTGACTTTAAGAATACGTCGGGCTTTGTTTAGTTTCATAGCAATAGAACTTATTTCTTTAAAAACAGAAACTCCGATTGGAATATTCCCTGGCAAATCTTTATGTACTCTTTGCCAATGATTTAACGTGTTTATACCTCATCTATACTTATAATATAATATATTATAATATAATAATATTGATATTATGTCAGGTTATGAACTATTAATTGAAATTTTGTTTTCTTTCACTTCCAGAACTGTGCGAAGATTACACGTTCTTTGATGACACTACAAATGATTGCAGAAATGTGTCTACTACAGCTGCAGCTGAAATAGGAAGTGAGTGCACAGTTGTTGTAAATATCTTACAGTTGTTATAAAGAGCATAATTTGATGAATTTAATTTAACGTAAACATTGATCCATTTCCCAAACCCATCTAAATCTATTCAAAGATTTTACTGCAATATTAGACAATGTTATGTGGATTGATTTTTAGATTAAAGCTATTATTATCTTGTCACATGTAAAGACAGCTTGTTAACAGTACGTTATAAAAACATATTTATATTACATACACATACATAGGTCACGGCTGCCCTCCTGACACTGCTCCATACTCCAACTCGTGCTACATCCTGCTGGACGAGTCTGCCGACTACATGACTGCCAGGAAGATCTGTGAGAGTGGCGGAGGCTATCTTGTAGTAGTTAAGGATGAAGGGGAACATCAGTTCCTCATTGATCACCTCAACTCTACAGTAGACATCTGGATTGGTCTGGACGACATCATCAATGAAGGAACGTTTGTGTACAGCGATGGGAGTCCACTTGGAGCATTCAGTAAATGGGCAACCGGTACGATAGATACGATTATATTGGATATCTTAATGTCATTGAGTTAAATGCTCAAGATGTCAGACCAGCCCTTTATCTGTTAATGCCTTTTTTCACGAATGTGTTGAATTGTAACAATAAGTAATTAAAAGTACATCACTTTTTACCATTCCTAGGTGAACCCAATGACGCCGTGGGTAACAACGATTGTGTCCATCTGTGGCCGTTGGCTGGGATGACATGGGCTGACACCATCTGTACCAAGGAAAAGCGCTTTGTGTGCGAGTTTGAAAAGTAGCATATAAGGATATAGTTGTCTTTATAGTTATAGCGTTTTGAGTGCGTTTGTGCATGTGTATGAGTTCATGCTTATGCTTTGTGTGTGTTATTCTTTTCTTTGTGCAAAGTCTCAAAAAAGATTTTAAAGCTCCGGCACGAAAGTGGGAGTTTTCAACTTGGTACACGTGACACATGTGACTTGTGGCCTGATAATGTTTTTTTCTCCCTTGTGAGCAGGACTATAACTGAAAGTCTGAAATTCTTTTTGGCCTGGCTACTACATAAATGGGTTTTATTAAGTTAATTCCATTGTTTAAAATGAATTTAAGTGGACGCCAGTGTGTGTGTGTGTGTGTGTGTGGTGAGCTTGTGAAATTATAATTACATTATTTTAGAAAAACATACGCATTGCTTCATTATTGATGGTTCTGTACATGTTTATTTTAGAATTGATACAGGTAATATCCAATATAGAAGTAGACGAGGAACTTTATTTCGCTGCAGATGTAATGGGTACAAAGTATGGCAAGATATATTTGAGACATGTAGTTGGTGATGCTAACAATATCTAACAGTTTAAGCGATGACATTTCTAACTGTTTCTATGTTACTAATTTCTACGAATCGGATCTACTTCCATTTATAATGTACAACAATAAAGAGACTAATTATTCATTCATTCTTTCATCCATCCATCCATCCATTCATTCATATACTAAAATCTAACTTTATTGATAGTAATATAATATTGTGTCAGGATTGTATTACATTTTCTCAGCGAATTGTCAGCTTTTGTCAGCGAATTGTGTGTACATTGGCCTACATATGTGGATATATTAAAAGGGCATGATAGCAGTATGTTGAATATCTCTGTCATTGTATGGGTAGCGTAATTATGTTTACCGAAGGAAAACATATTGTTTTTACTCAGTTTCTTCCTCCTCCCCTTCTGTTCCAAACACTAACCTCTGACCTGCCCAATGACATGATTTGTTGACATCTGTCACCAGGGTGACTGGTGTTGGGTTACATAATGTTGCAATTTCATGGTCTGCTCTACTCCTGTCACCATATACTCGTAGTAAATGTATGTGAATGTGTTTGAGTAAAAATCAATAGGGCAGACCATGTCCGAAGGTATACATTATGCATTTGCTTTGCAAATGTAACTTTTCTAGTTTCGGTCTTACATTTAATACACTGTAGCAATTTTCGTCGGTCTTTATCATAAGTTGGACAATCTATTATAACTGTAATTCATTTTCAACGCCTTTATACCATGTGCGACACAGTCTCTCATTGGCTGAGTGGCAACCTTTTTCAATTTGCAAAGTGTGAGCACTAATCGTAAGTTTTTGGATTGTTTAAAGTTTTCATGACAGAATTGTGTTTTAATTTGCAGTAGGTATTGAGTTTGGTAAGACTTTTTTTTTCAATTTCCTGTCTCCAGCTAGCCACTTAGCAAGGGATATTTCACGTACTACTTTATTTCTAAACGACCACAGTACAGCTCTGTTTGACACTTTAGCCTTCCTGTGTATCTTGTCTCTTCGACGCATTAACAATCTAATCTTGGGAGACATCCAAGGTTTGTCTTTAGGTCTTACAAGAATGTCCTTGTGAAGAACACATTTGCTTTTAGCTTCAAAGATGAGTTTAACCAGCTTTAAAGCTGCATCATCAACAGTATTACAGTAAAAAATTTCATACCACTTAGTGTCAGACGAAAAATCAGCTATTAGGGGATGGTCGATTTTAAGGTAGTCCCAGATGGTGCGGGCATAAGTACGAGGAGACTTTAAAGACAAATTGAAGGAAGTTATTATTGGTCAGTGATTGCATCCAGAAAGGGGGGACAAAACAGAGGTACATTTGACTATTGATTTTGCAGCTGTAAACAGTAGATCAATCAGCAAAGGGGAACGTGACAAGTCACAAATCGGCTCACTAATCACCTGAGTGAGATTTACCATAACTGATGCTTGAAATAGTTTTGAGCCGACTGGTGTAATTGGACCACGGGCCCACCACGCACTACGCTTGGCATTAAAGTCACCTGTTATTATGACAGCGTCGTCGTTGGAAGATACAGCTGCAAAGACTGAGTCAGTGAATGAGTCAATGAATTCATTAACAGTACTGGATTCTTGACTAGGAGGACGGTAGTAAACAGAAAAGATGATACGCTGGGAAGAGTTCGAGCCAGATGCATTCAACAAACTGGGGCTCTAGATCAAAGCGTCTCTTGTGTGCGATCTGATCAGATATGTAAATAAGGACGCCACAACCGTGCCGGTTCCTGTCACGTCTTACTGTAGTTTGAAAACCATCTAGAGAAATGCCAACTGAGTCAACAGCCTCACTCAACCATGTTTCGGAGATAGCAACCACATCAAGCTTAAATCTAACTACAAGAGCAGACAACTCGTCCATTTTAGTACTACTAAACTATTTACATTAATATGCATAAAGTTAATTTCTTTACGAGAAACAGGCCCTGGATTGGGATGAATGTCTCCCGCTAGCAGAATTACAATAAAAGCGATACAAACTGAGATGTAAGTAAGAGTCATAAATGGGTTAAGTGAATACTTATGGTTAACCTTGAGAGTGAAATAAAAACCAGCGGAAAACATACCAATGACTGCCCTGTACTGATCGGTATCTATTGGTTTTGCACCCCTGCTCAGCAATCTAATTGGATCCGTTCAACTTTGCGTTAATAAAAAGGACCATTGTTGTGAACATAGAACATCAAAGTAACGATGAAATGGAACAGATAAGTGCGACATTGCAAATAAGTTCGGTCAATGTCTACAGTCGAAGAATTTCAGTGCTGCAACAGGTGCATATTTTACACAGGGATACGGAATGCAGCTAGGTCGACTGGATCAAGGATCAAGCGTTTCTCTCCATTTGTTGTCTTGACAAAGATCTTACCGTCGTAAGACCACGCGCTCTGAATGTCGTTATCCCTGACGAGCGAACAAGCATCCTTGAGTAACTCCATGTTCTCCCTGGTCAGGTTGTCGTTTATGTAGATCCTCTTGTTCTTCAGGGTAGCTCTGCTGTCGGCCTTGGCCTTTGCGCGCATGGAAACAGACTTCTGTCGATAGGAGGAAAACTTTACAATTATTGGTTGGGGTTTTCCGTCGTTGCGAGGCTTTCCAAGTCGATGGGACCTGTCGATATCCTGCATGTCGATGGGTGGATCACACTGCAACTTGGTGTTGGCGACTTCCAGAACAGCATTATCCGTACTCCGTACCTCAGGTGACTCCGGAATTCCAGTTATGACCACACAGTTCCGCTGAGAATACTGCTCCAGGTCGTTTACTTTCCGCTGTAAGTTGTCGTAAGCATCTTAAAGAGATATAAACTTCGAGGTTAGGCACAGATCGTTGTCCTGCTGTTTGAGTTGGTGGTTGGTCTTGATATTTAGACAGCTCAGCCTGAACAGATACGCTCACGGCCTCCCTCACCGCAGTAACAATGCACGGCGGTCAATTTCTAGGGTAAAGTTTCCAATTCTACGGAGGGGTATCAGGTTACCGGGGTTCCACGCGCGGCTTCAGTGGAGCCAGTCTCAACGGTAAACATTTTGTTAAGCAATAATTAACAGTTTCACGGGGACTCCCTTGTCGAAATGTGATAAAATCAGCACGGCATGTACCTCATATGATGTTGTTTTTATTACAACGCTTAAATGTGTGTGAAATCACTCTCAACGCGTCAAATGCTTATTCTAAAACAATCGACGTCAATAACCAAACAACTGATTTAAACCGACCCCAAATCTTCCAGAAAATCCCACATTTTTTTGCATTTTAGAGAACAGTATAACAAAATTAAGATTTGATTCGGATAGTTTTCTTTATTTCAAAGTTAAAGTGTTGCTAAGGCCTAAAAATTTGCCAAAAAAAGCAGTTTTTCAACTTCCAAGACCGATAATTCCAGAATGCCGCCATCTTTAAAAAATCCGTCCGACACAGATCGAGATTAGTGTCTTGCCTACAATTTAAAACGTTTCTGAGGTAAATTGAATTTGTTTTGTTGCGGTTTTGTTGCGGTTTAAATACCATGTTTGCAAGCATGTCAGGGAGTGTGAGTAAGTACAGGGGGTAAGTTATATCCTCGTAAACAACAATTACGATCGTCAAGATCACACACGATGACGGCAGTAGCTTCGTTACATGTTACATAGCAACTATAAAACAGGGCATAGATGTACTGTCCCGAAAGTGGTTTATATTTGTAAAAAGGCTGATTTTTTACTGTTAGGTGGTACCCGGGTAAAAACGGGCTTGAAGCCGCGGGTTTACGGTATGCGACCGCAGGTGACCCCGGATCGAACGAACGTTCGGTTCGATTAACGTCATATCGAACATGATTCGATTCGAATGACGTCATATCGAACATGATTCGGTTCGATTAAAAGGTTGGAATACTTGGGCCCAAATTTGACCATCGTGATGGACGGTGTTGAGCACCTCCGCAGCATCGGGAGAGCCATGGAGTATGCTATATAGACTTCATTCCTATTCTTTTCTATAGCCAAACTAGGTGTGTTTTTGTTTGCTTCCGACATGTGCTTTACTATGTAGCGGTACAAACAGTCGGCGCAGTTTGGTAAATGGCTCGGATCAAAGGACGGCTCCTGTCTTATCCCTTTCTTATGCATAGCATCTTGGTGTGTGCGTTTTCACATGTAGGTTCTATGTCCCTGGTACGGATTTTTTAATTAATCTATTTGCTTCTCTTCTTTTCTGTTTTCTTCTTTCATCTCACCCCAGGTACAACAGGCTAAGAATATGGGTCCCTGGGAAGCCGGGAATCTACGTACGAAGCTACGAACGAATATTTAGCACAGCATTTGATTTGCACCCCCTCTTGCAATCTTTGTTGGTATTAAAAATGACACCATGGCTTCATATGGGACAATATGTGAAGAAAGCTTTCCAAGGGCCTAAGGTGTTCTCGGCGTTATCTTTATCACGCGGCACTTCTAGGTACTGGAGTTATAAGCAAATGGACAGTTCGTTTTGTCACTTCTAAAGGACGTTACTGGACTGTACACGAGTAGTAACGTGACATGACAAGCAATATAGTAATGTAC